AGCAACAGAGGAGCTCCTACCAAACCCGAACAACCGGCTAAACTCTACCTGCAGCTTTTATCAAACACAAAATTTCCTGAATAAGGGGAACATTTTAACGAGTCCTTTAGGATGCCTTTACCAGGCACATGCACATTGGGTCCCAATGTTAAGCTAAGTGTACTCAAGTATTTTATTGCTTCATTCCGTAAGGTTATCTGCATTATTTTTCTCTTTTTTAATGGCCAACTCAAACTGAGTTGCTAATAATCACAAGCAAGCTCTATGTAACTTCTATCTACATTAGAGTAGCAAGGGTAAAATTTTCTAAGGGTTAACTGAACATTGATAATTTGTTAAGCTTCACCATTGCTGTTCTGCTGTGCTGAGCAGGTACTAAGAGTTTTTAGCAGCTGGAAGAATGTTCCTGCTTAGATAAAAGATCATTCAACTAATACAAGCACAAGAAAAATCCTTCAATATGTACAAAAAATTTATTTTAAAGCATTCAGCTCAAATACATGTGATCACATCTCTTCATAGAAAATAAGAATGTTCCAAGACATATTTTATGCCAAGTTGTAGCCAACATAGGATTTTCATAGTTAAATTTGAACCGTCTAGAAAACATTTTAAGTACTGACACCACTAATAAGTGGCATGGCCAGTGCCCTAAAAAAGATTAAAAGAAACCGTAGTGTTCCACAGAATGGGACCCTTAGCTTGTACATTATGAAAGATTCAGTCAATTTAATGATGAAACAGTCAATCACAAGTTTATTACAAATTTACTTACTGTATAAGCACTGTTAACAGTTTTGTTTCTATGTCTGTGTTCCTCATTACTAGCCAAGATTTTGCAAGTCTTAAGTAAAATGGTTTGAAGTCATTCTCTGGTTGAGTTCCCTAAATGCTTTCCATGCCCTTGATTCCTGTCCCCAGGCTACTGAAAAACACAGGGAAACTCAGCAGATACTGGTCACTGTTATGGCAAATTGTATGGGCAGCTAACAGCATTAGCTAACCAGTAGTGTAGCAGTAGTCCTGGCCCTAAGGTACAACTCAATCTACTGTAAGCATCAATAGTGTTTTGTAATATTAATTTGAAGTTGAACCTGTGTATAGTAGGTACAAAGTAGACATCTTAAACAGGTCTGATCAAGGATGGAGCAAGACTACATGATTAACCTTGTTGAAGCTGAAGCTCAGCGTGTGACATTCCCAGAAATGCTGACACCCTCATCCTCCAGTTCCAGCACCCAGGATAATTCTTCTCCCACCCTGCAGAATGTCTTGTACAGGATCTTTCACCAAATGAACTGGTAAAGCACCAATATTCTGCAGTCTAGGAGGGAAGGTATGGCAGAATTAGCAAGGTAAAATACCACCTTTTCCCTCTTCCTCAGGTGAATTTAGCCAATTCTGAGGAATGTTAATACTTTGCTTAATTAATACTAATGCTTAAAAAGGCAGTGTGCCACCAGCTACATAGGAATTCAAAAATTACATAAGATTCTTGAGAACTGAGTTAAGAATGCACCTAGTGACAATTATTGCGTTCTTCTCTTTGGTTTTCAAATTTACATCTATCCTCAGGAATGGGCATGCTGTTCTGGGGAAATTAGCTATTCTTTTTCAGCACGTCTAGGCTTCTAAACCTGCAACTCAACTAGTAACTTCTGACCCTGCTGACTTGAAAGCCAAAATCCACTGTATCCTGAAAAAAAAAAAAAAGTCTCCTCCTAAAGGCAGAGTTGTGCATGGACACAAAAACAAGAACCCATGCAAAATATGGCTGTAATTCAGTTTGTTTCTAAAATTAATTTAGAGCTGCATACTCAGGTTGGCCAAGACACTAATGGGTCAGTTGACAACGCTTTTAATGCCATTTTTTTTAACCAAACTGAAACCAGAAAGATGAAGGAAACTAACCTGCTAGTGGCAGTTTCCCCTCATTCTCAGGTGAGGGTACTCTGCTGAAAACATGCATACTGACAATGCTATCAAGGAAGTACATGTCAGTGTTTAATCTTCAGCTTTAATCCTTGATGACATACACAGCAAAGAAGGCAACATTAAACATAAATGTGTTACATCCATTCCATCCACAGCACATGCACACACACAGCCTTACAAAAGTGTCAGTGATAAGAACATAATATAAAGGCTGTGATCTTATCTCTAAGCCCCTGAGCTTCTTCTTACAGTTAGGTGAAAAGGCAATGAACAAGTCTTTCCTTGCTCTGTAAGTGCTTTGTGCAACAATGTTCATAGAGGTCATAAACAAGTCTTTTTGGGAGAAGCGAATGTCTTAGTCTGGTATTCACAGTCCCTTAACGTTGTTTTCGCACCAAATAGTTTCCAGTTCAGTTGTCTTAATCCGGTAATACAGTCTTGCTCCTGTAATGACAGTTAGGATTGGTTTTGCAGATCAAAAATGAAATGCAATCTCCTTTTTTTCTTAAGAGATGTCATCTTGGCGACACTGTGGGACTAGAGAAGTTACCAGAATTTCGACGGGACTCAAGAGGCAGAGATAAAGAGCTGGGAGGCGCTTTCCTTGGGCTGCGTAGGTCACCATTGTGCAACTTCCACAGAAGTTCTTCATTTTCCATTGACAGGCGCTTGTTCACTTTTGACTCTTTCTCTAGTGACTCCTGTAAAACAGCTTGCTCCGTAGAAAGTTGCCTGCAAACAGAAGATTTACAACAGAACACATAATCCAAGTTAGAAGCTACAGTATTGAGCTTAATTGTTAAAGAAAGGTTTGAAATTTCAGAATTGGCTCACAACTAAGTTCCATCCTTAAAGAAGGATTTAGCATGTTCACATCCTTGCTGGATCTAAACTGGTAGCTTACAGAAAGCAGGAGAAAGTCCCAGTAAAACATCCCTAAAGGCCAGAAAAAGCACCTGAAAAGTGAGACTTGTCCTACTGCCAATGATAGATGCTTTTAAATGGCTGTGCTGGAACCTTTGGGTCTTGTTGCAGGCTCAGCTCTATACAGAAGTTGCAGTTTCCTTCAAACTGGAAGAGCCTGACTATTCATTTAAGCAAAAGCTGAAGTTGCAAGAACCTCAGACCCATTTTAATCATACTAAATATTACTATTATTGCTAAATGATTGCCATTGCACACAGATTTAAACTGGGGATAAACCCCTCACTGAAGTGGTTGAAAGTAAACCCAGGTGTAGCTCACATGCCAGTAATACTTAAAAGTGACAAACTTTGTATGATGATATTTCTGAGTTGCTTTGTGTTCTCTGAAATAATGTTTTGAAGAACATACTGAGCCTTTACCCTCTTACAATCTGTTCCTGCTTGTTTTTCGACAAAGGAATGTGCATTTGCAGAGATTTGAGTAGGGCAGAAAGGTATATGTTCTTATACAAGAGTACAACAAAATCACTTTCACTGATATTCATACAAGATTTTCTTTCTTGTCACAGGAACCCCTTCCCCCTGCTTTATAAGAACACCTAAAAGTCCAAAAGTATTTTTCACCTTGAAAGCTGCACGTGCTTGTCCATCCGAGCTTTTAATTCCTCATTTTCTTGCTGAACCTTATTTAATTTCTCCATTAAGATTGTGGAGTTCTCCACCTTAGAAAGAAGATCACAGTTTAAAATAAAACTCACGCATGCACTCATCAAGATCTATCACAGATGTTCACCATTGATTTTCCAGACCTTGTTACAGTGGATATAAAAATCTGAAGCAATGTCAGACTGACCTGCTACCATGGCTTAATGTTCTCCAATAGTAAAATAGATCCACCTTACCTTAGCCTTGCACAGCACTGGCACTTTGCCACTTGTGCTGATTAGATGCCAACAAAGGAGGACTGGATAAGGGATCTATTAGTTAACCAGCACATTCTACTAATTTCTGCCAGTGATGGGCAGCAGTTTTAGAAACTGTTGCAGACAAGACTGTCTAGAAATAATAGAGTAACATGACAAATTCAAGAGCTCCTCTGTGTAAGTGGCTTTCCCTGTTGCTCTCCTGATTCCACTTCATTGCTGGAGGATGTTATAAAAAAAATAAGGAAAAAACTGACTAAATGGTTGGGTGGTCCAAGTGCTTCTACACTGTGGCAAACATCTGTCAGAAAAGGTGAAGGTTTACTAGTGATTTATTAGTAATTGCAGCCCTGAGTAACACATGCTGCTGTACAATACTGAACAACCAACAAGAATGTATTGCTTTACATGCAAACCTCTTTCTATACTTCCTCACTAAAATCATGCTTAAGCAAGTATTACAACAGTGTTCAGAGGCCCCACCCAGGAGAAGGACCCAATCCTGCCACAAACAAAAGCATGCTAAGCTACTACTGCTCCTGGCCCCAAAATTGCCTTTTCACATGGAATTATGCACAGGTCAGGAGCAAATCCACACAGCTAAACAAGTAGCTTAAAGATAATAGATAAAGTGATTGAGCTAAGCTAACAAACATTTATTCCATTTCATACTTGATCCCTTCTTGTTAAATTAGGGTAACTTCCCTGTTAATGTTTTCCTGACAGTGCCATCTATTTTCCGTACCACTCAAGCAAATGAGGTAAGGATTTTTTAGTTTGGAGGCTGAGGGAGAAAAAAGGGAGGAAAAAAGGGGATGTGGAAGAGGCTCACAGATAATCCTGTACTAACTTAGCATTAGTGTATGCAAACCAGCAGTTGTTGTAAGAGGTTAAAAGGTCATTTACAGCACCGGGTAATCCTTTCCCCCTCTCTACATTACACCCAATGCTGTCCCATCATGATTTCATGTTTCCTTTCAAACAAAAAAGAAATTCTTGCATGTAAGTCTGACCAGCGCAAGTTCATAGAACACAACTAGGAGACACAACCCCAAGGAACACTCACCAGTCTTTCCACCTTCATTAGCTTTATGTCCTGCTGATGGAGTTTCTCATTCTTTATCTCCAGCACGGCTTTCAAACTTTCCAGCTCCTGTTCCAGGTACGTAATCCGTGGGTTTTTCTGAAAGATTTCCAGAGAGTTTGCTTAGTACCCTGAATGGTGATACCATTCTGATCTGATACCATTTTCTCTCCTGATTTTGTTTGCCCTTCGGTGTAGGTGGACAGTTGCAGGTTTCCTTAGAAGTTGTTCAGAAAACACTTAATGCACAGACATGAAAAGCCCTTGTGAGTCAAAGGAAGGCGCTAACACTGTCACAGCAAAACTTGTTCCAGAGGAGTGCCCAAAGGTTCCCTTTTAAGGCTAGGAGTTCTGAAATTTACTTCACATTACTCATAACCCATCCCAAGAGATAATTAGAGTAAACATTTGAAGAGTTTTCAGACACTGGAATAGTTCAAACAAGCAGTAGAAGTTTAAAGCTCTGACCTTGACTGTAGCTGATCTTCCCTGGTTTGAGTCTGAAGTTAGCTGGTTTATAAGCAGAAATTCAAAATTTTCAGTTTTACATTCTCCCAAAGCCTAGCAATGCAATTGCACATACAAATCTTCAACTGCTCTACACCTATGACTTATCAACAATACAAGAAGTTAGGACTTTCTTTTTAATTTTTTCTGCTTTCTGGGAGATGGAAGAGCAGAGCAGGGTTCCCTCAAGTACCTATTTTTCAGAGTAAGGAACCATTCAAACACTGCAGAGTAAAATACATTCTCTGCATTTCAAAAACAAATCACAGACAAAAATATGGAAAATAAAGCAAATCTTAGTCCACTTCCAGGTAGGACAAATGAAACACAAACCAGAAATCAAATCAGTGATTAAGTGTGTTGTGTAACTAAGTTTATCTTCAAAATCAAACAAACCTTCTTTTACCATATATTTGGGTAAGAATACAGGTGCACTGCACTGAGTAACAGCTTCACTGCCAAACCAGATACCTCAGACTGGAAGACAACTCCTGCAGTTCTGTGGGGTGCAGTCACAGCTAACAGGGGCTCCATCACCTATGCAGTTCATTCTCCTGCCTGTTTTTAAGGACTATTGCATTAGTGATTCTTTTTTAACATCCTCTTTTGAACACAAGTCTGTGTGGGGGTGGAGTGTGCTGTGCTGCTTCAGTGAAGGTAGAAGACAATTTGTTCCTCCTTTGTGTGACTTTACATGGAGTCTAGGAGCTAGTGAAAAAAATTACTCTGAGACCTTTAACTGCAGCTTACAGTATGTTCAATATTAAACTTATTTTATTTCTCTCCTCTGGTCCAGTGGTCATAAAATGTCTTTTCAAAGTTCAATCTGAGCCCCCACATTAGCTACTCATAGCAGAACACACAGCCAACTGAAAAGACTGAAAGGCCTACAAAAGTTTTTAGCAAAAGAACTGGGAATGTCAGGTGACACCATCTAAATGATACTGGAGATTTGGAAATATGTCTCTGTCTTCAAAGGGCTATAGGGAATTCTGACAGAATTTGAGTTTAGTTCAAATGAATATGTTGAATCAAATCAGTATTTTTCCATAGAGAAGCCTCAAGCTTAGGATGCATCTTATGCTGTCAGGATGCAAAGTACATCTGCAGCTGTGTCAAGGCACTTGACTATTGCTTCTTTAATTTAAACAACATCTGAGCATGCCTATGGAATGCAGTTCAAACTCTCACTACCACAGCAACATATTGTGGTTGCAGATTCTTGTGGCAGCTCTGTCCTGCCACTAGAATAAGCAGTAAGAGAAAATTAAATTCCAGTGAAAACTGGGGCAACTTCCACTAGAGGCATCCTAAGTAAGTTTTTAAGTGTGGAAATTCTCTTTGTGGAATAAGCAATAATAGTGGTATTCTGGTTATTCCCAGGTAACCAGAAAGATAAACATCTTTGTGTCTAACCCTTCCAGTCCATGAAAAACCTCTCTCAGAACACATTTCTATCCCAGGAGCATCAGAAATAACAGCAGCCTTGGAAGGAAATGCAGGACAGAATAAAAGTTTATCTGAAGGATAAATCAGCAACAAGCATGAATTAATGTTTGAATAAATGCATTAAAGACTCAAGTACAAGAAGTGAGTTTTGTAGCAGTGATATAAGCCCATGCTGACCACAGCACCATTAGAACAGTTATTAGCTGTCCAGAAAAAAAGCTATGATACAACTTTGCATACACATAGGTCTTCAATTTAACTCAGGTCATTATTTACACCCCTGACTTAGATACTCAACAGCTTTATAGATTTATAAAGGTAAAGTTAATACACAGTATTGTATTGCATTGTGAAGAACTTCTGACAGGCAAGCCATTTACATAAAATATTACTAAGTGTGGGAATGCTACCAGGCTTCATTGCAAACCCTTCATATTATGCAACAAAATAAATCCAGGCAAGATCTCCTCATCCACATTACTTCTGAAGATAAAGACTTACAGGATCAGCTTTTTCTTTGGCTATTTGCTTTTGTTCTTCTAATTTCAGCTTCTCACTCAGAGACTCATTTGCACTTTTTAGTTCACTGACTTTTTTCTGAAACGAAAACATATGGTATAGTTAGGCCAAGAATTCAGTGCACATCTCCAAACTGCCTTTTTAGTTTTAGACTGTTGCAATGACCCCAGCCCTTAACAAACCTCCAGCAATTCCTGCTTCTCTTTAAAGGAATCTTCAAGCGACTTCCTTTCAGATTCATAGGTGGCCCTGAGCTCTGCAAAAAATTATTTTGTCAGATTTTTAATACCATGTAAGACTTGAAAATTCTTTTAGAAAAGAAGGAGCCTGAAAAGCCAGCCTGTAAACATATACAGTTGATGATAACAAAGAACACTTATCATCAACTTATGCAAAGCATGCACGAAGTAGCAGATTTATTGCCACTTCACATTTGTTGATGGTCCCTTGCCATATCCATTTCATTAGTTGACAGCATGTCAATTTTGAGAGGATTCATCTATATGCTACAAATAGATGCATTAAACACAAACCACGTCTGATAAAAGTTGAATTTCTGGAGGGAAATGCAGCAGAAAACCTGAAATTGTGTCTTCCACAAGCTTCTAAAAACTATTTCATGGAGGAAATCTTCTAAAAACTTTAACACGGAGGAAATCAGGCAAAAATGCCAGAAAGCCTGTGTGGATGAGTAAGGAAGCACTGAGGAAACCCAGGGGGAAAACAAAAGAGGCCTTTAAGAGGTGGAAGGGAGGACAAATGGCCTGGGAGAAATACAGAGTCGTAAGAGAAGCTAGAGACATGGTCAAGGAAGCTAAGGCACAGCTGGAATTGAGGCTAGCCAGGGACATTAAGGATAACAAGGAAGGCTTCTACAGGTATGCTACATGTGAAAGGAAGGCTAGGGATAATGTGAGCCCCCCTCTGGAAGGAAACAGGAGAACTGCCTACCCTAGATAAAGAAAAGGTTGAGGTTCTTCATGAATTCTTTTCCTCAGTCCTCAACTCTTAACTTCTCTAGCCACACTGACCAGGCAAAGACAAGCAAAGATGGAGACCGGAAGAACAAACCCCCTGAGCCCACTGTAGAGGAGGATCAGGTTCAAGACCATCTAAGGAACCTGAATGTGCATAAGTCCATGGGTCCTGATGAGATTCAACCTCAGGTCCTGAGGAAAATGGCAAATGTAGTTGTTAAGCCACTACCTATAATTTCTGAGAAATCCTGGCAGCCAGACGATGTTCCTGATGACCGGGAAAAGGGAAATATAAACCCTATTTTTAAAAAGGGAAAATGGAAGAACCAGGAAATGACAGACTAGTCAGTCTCACCTCTGTACCTGGCAAGACCATGGAGCAGATTGTCCTGGAAGCTATGCTTAGGCACATGAAAAGCAAAGAGGTGATTGGTAATAACCAACATGGCTTTACCAGGGGCAAGTCATGCCTGAGGAATTTGGTGGCCTTCTGTGATGGGGCCACTGAATTGGTGGATGGGGGCAGAGCAACTGATATCATCTACCTGGACTTGACACTGTCCCATGTGACATCCTTGTCTCTAAATTGGAGAGACATGGATTTGATGCGTGGACCACTCAGTGGATAAAGAACTGGCTGGACGGTCACAAACACAGAGTTATCAGCAGCTCATTGTCCATGTGAAGGCCAGTGATGAGTGGTGTCCCTCAGGGGTCAGCGCTGGGGCCAACACTGTTCAACATCTTTGTCAGTGACATGGACAGTGGATTGAGTGCAACCTCAGCAAGTTCACTGATGACACCAATCTGTGTGGGGCAGTTGACATGCTGGAGAGAAGGGATGTGCCATATTTGTAAGGTGCAAACCTCATGAACTTCAACAAAA